AGGTACCTTGGACATTATGACATGACTGATGCCTGAGGGAGAGAAGAAACCCTAGGGACAAGTGAAAGCAGAAAAAAGGAAGTATTTTGAATATCACTCACTTATCTAAGCATGTGTCCCCAAAAGATTACACTCCATCCAACATCCTGGATCTGACAAACAGTGAAGAGCATTCAACGGCTCTTTGTGACTCCCGCCTCTTTCAGCAAGCGTCTTTCTTCACAACAGCTTCATACATCTCACTAAGCACCTGCTCTCTTCCTGAGCTGTCAGCACAAGTATCTCTGTACCACTAAATAGACTTATACTTCTCAGAAGAAAACTGTACCGCTTGTCTCTTAAGAACCAAGTAGAGGGAGCATGTGTGTGTGTGTGTGTGTGGTGTCTGCAGATGCTCAGAGATAGAGGCCAGAATTGCTAGTATGGGTCTTTCCAATCTAGTTTTATAAGGTCTAGACAGTTTGGCTGACTGCAGCTCCAATTTTGTAAAACAGAATTGATTTGCAAAGATATGGGCCAGGAGAGGGCACAACTGGAAAACGGCTGTGAATTCAGAACAAGGAAGGGAGCAGATGCTGAGGTATCCTGAAATCAACAGCAGAATAGAAGGTCGAGAGCAATCAGAGTTTAAAGCTCCCTGATGGGACCACTGAGTTAATCAGGGCCAAGAAGGAACCAAGAGTCAGGCTTCGTCTTCTGCCCTAAAGGGGGTTCTGTGTGAGGGTGAAAAATAAAAAGTCTGCAAGGACGGGCCCGGTGGCGCAGTGGTTAAGTTCACATGTTCCGCTTCACTGGCCCGGGGTTCGCTGGTTCATATCCCAGGTGTGGACCTATGTACCGCTTGTCAAGCCATGCTGTGGTAGGCATCCCACAGATGGGCACGGATGTTAGCTCAGGGCCAGTCTTCCTCAGCAAAAATGAGGAGGATTGGAGGCAGATGTTAGCTCAGGGCTAATCTTCCTTAAAAAAAAAGTCTACAGAGGAGGTCTAGTTAGTACCTTAAATCTGAAATTACACTAAGCAACGTGAAGGTAGATTGTTGCGAAAATTCCTTTTTACAACTGTTCCAAAATCTGAATCATTATTTCAGGAGTTCTACTGCATGCTAACCTGGCAAGGAAATTGTAAGATTGCTTAGATGAGTGTTCTCAACCCTGGCTTTTCATTAGAGTCTTTAGGAAATTCGATGCCTTGTCCTCACTCCAGACCAAATAAATCAGTATCTCTGTGTCAGGGATCCAGGAGTGGGTAGTTCTTAAAAGCTTTCTAGGTAATTGCAATGTGCAGCCAGGGCTGGGAACCACTGAGTTAGACTGAGACAGACAAGAGAAACCCAAAGGAGCCAGAGAAAGAGTTGTGGTTGAGACGTTGTGATTCCTGGGCATAACCTCAGACAGCGATACACTGGAGCACCAGCGATACCTTGTGCACATCACAGAGTTGGCACTATGAGTTTAACCTGTAACGACAAACCAGAAATCAAACTTCACACATCCCAAAACATAACAGGGACCAGACAAGTTGGTGGATGAATAATACATTTAGTTGTGTGTTTTGGTCAAGTATCAAGTATTCACCTAATAGAAATTCACTCACAGTGGCTCAAGATTAGGAAGGTTTGTGGCAGAGACACAAATGGGAATTTCAAGGCTTCTAGGGATCTAGACTGCCAGAGCCAGGAACCAGACATTCAGGGACTGAGGTCCTTCCCTCCGTCTCTCAGTCATTTGATCTCCTTCGTCTCGGTTCCTCTCTGCACGTCTGTTTCATTCTTGAATTGCAATGGGCTTTCTCTGAGTACTCATTTCACACGAGGCTCAACGTGACTGCTTAACCCTAATTTATCATGATCTTTCAGATCCAGAGCCCAACACTGACTGACCATTGTCACAATGTTTCTTACTTCAAATTTTCAAGGAGAGGAGTTTGGTCCAGCAAATTTGGTCCACAGCAAAGGATGGCTGGTCTTGTCCAGCCTTGAATCAAGTGTTAATCTCCTCCTAAAAGCTAGGCTGGGGATAGTAAACGTCATATGGTTCACAGGCTGAACATTCTAGGAGACCATTGGAAGAGTAGGCACTTGTGAGGAGCTGTGGACAGAGCAGACAATAAAGTATATCTAACACCCATCCATAAACAGTGAACAACACACTTTTCTTCTTTCCCATCTTCTAGTCCCAGGAGATGGGTGGGCATGGGGGAGATAAGGAGGAGCTTGAAAGAATGTGCCCTGTCTGCTCTCAGGATCCAGCTAGCATCTGAGAGGGGTAACCAGAGACTGGCATGAGCCAAAGACAGTCTACATACCCTCAACCAGTGTTTATGTACATGATTCTACAGGTGTTGTCTTCCTCCTGAAACCACTGATAAGTCCATTCTTGGCAATGGTGAAAGCCTGAGGATGTCCAAAACACAGGATCTCTGTTTGTTCAATTTTAATCCCACACTTTCTGCTCCATTGTGGCATGCAAAAATGTAACACATCTAGACATTAAGAAGGATTCTCCTCCCCTTGGGCCTTTATCTGATCATTTGGAAAATTTACGATTAACATGTTATTACAGTGACTTAACAGTTCACTTGACAGCTCTGAAATAACATTCTTGGCTTTTTGATGACAATCTTTTACTGAAACTCAAAATGACTCTTTTCAGAAACTTAGAACTTCAGCCAATTTGGGGGTGCGTGAAAATAGCAGTCTGAGAATTTTATAAACTCCCCAAATGGAGAGATTGCGTGTAAGTTCATTGTATGGACCAACACTGGCTATTCCAGCAAAGAATTGAAGAATCCTACCACTCCTTCTTTCCTCTAGTTAACTTCAGCTGCATTGAGGCAGAGGGCAGGAATAGTCTAGACTTGGGGGGCATGTTTAGAGGGAGCAGGTCAAGGTAAAAAGTCACCTCCCACTCCAGTCTGAGTATATTTTTTTCCTTTTTAATCCCCGGGGCTAGTGGCAAAGCGAGGCCTGGAGTGGGGAGAGGGTGCACAGGGAATATAGAGGAAGCACCAATAACAATTGTTGCCTATTTTCACCTTGCCTAGAACATATGGTCCCTGAAAATCATGGATGTGGCCTCAGTATAATGCCATCATGCCAATATTCAATCATTTATTTTAAAGCCTTGGATGGAGCCAACTATTTTAGCTTTTGCTCAAGTACAGCTATTAGAGATTCTGGCTGGTTAAAAAAGAAGAAGCAGAAATCTAATACTCGTATTTTACTGACAAAACAAAACACCTTTAAACCAAAAGGATGATTTATCTGGGCTGAAAATAAAACTCCTGCCTACTGAAGTCTGGTGCAGCTGAGTTATCACTATTTTCATCCTGTAATTTGTTTTATAGGGTACTAATTAACGGGGCAAAGTCTGTTGCCAGGAAAGTAAATCACATTTTGCTGTTTTCTTCTTTTCTAACAAGACACAGACCTGGTCTTTAATTAAAGAGCAAGTTCCAAGGGCACTCTCAGCTACTGAAATTGGGAAACCTTCAGCTGGGAAGATCATGGTGAAACCTGCTGTGTAAAGTTCAAGAAAGATAGTGGGAGAGAGGAAGGAATGGGGGTCAAGAGGGGACAACTGCACAGGTAACCTTCCAAAGAAAAGATTGTTTTCCTTGATATCCTGTCTTTTCTCTGCTCCCCACAACTCTGCATTTCTCACTCTGTACCTCAAACATCCTTTAAGAAAAGCTCTCTGCCCCTCTGGCCCCCCACCAGTTCATTCCCATCTACAAAGCAGTACTATTTATTTTTTTAAAGCTAGTCACTCTGCTGTCAGACCGCCCTGCTCCAACCTCCCCCTTCTCCTTCTTCTTTGACCTGGCCTCCTCAGTGACATTTGACCGTGGACTTTGCTGCCAGGCCAGCGCAACTCATCCCTCACTCCTCCCCTCCCAGCTCACCCTCCTCGCCCGGCCTCATAGTCTTCTTCACTCCTTTCTCCCTCTCCTTCTCTTTTCCCAACCCATTCCTGGAGGTTCTGGACTGGAAGCGGCCTCTCCGGCTTCTCCTCCCTCCTTGAACCCTCTGAGACATTGGTTGGGGGAGAGGAGACCAGGAGGGGGTACTGATGGGCGGGCGAGGAGAGCCAGTGCCGGGCTAGCACTCGGGAGCCAGGAGCCTGACGTCACCGCGTCCTGCCTGTCAATCTCCAGCAGGCGCGCTGCTCTTAGCCGCCTTTTCTGCCGCTGACTGTGTGTCTCACTCTCGGCGCGGGCACAGCCACAGGCGCTCGGCGCTCCTCTCCGCGCCGGCCCCGGCCGCCTCGCAGGCATCGGTTCGGTCTGCACCGGGAGTGCAGCCTGGTGCCCCGCCACAGCGCTCATGATCAGAGTCTTCGTGAAGCCCTGACTCCCCAGGTGAGCAGCCGGGCTCCCGAGAGGAACTTGGAGGGTGTGCAGAGAGGAAGGGGTGAAGGATGGCCAAGGGATGAGTCCTTCCCGAAGCCAGAGATATGGAGCCAAGCTTGACTCCACACCCTCCCGCTGCACACATCATCCCAGCTTCTGTCCCCTCAAGCAGCCTTCCCAGGGGTCTCTGTGGCTTCCAGAGCCCGCTGGGCTCGGCGATCGAAGAAACTTCGCTTTCAGCACCGCGGACAGCGACTCCGCAGCCCAGTTTGGGAGAAGGCCCTGACCCCGCTGGCCAGAGCCCCAGCGGGACTGGCTGAGGCTGTCACCCCTAGCTCGGTGCATATGCGCGAGTGTGAAAATAGGGGCACACTTACGGGATTGATCGGTGTGCCTGTGAGTGCATGTTATCCGTGTGTATATCTGTGCAAAAACTCAGATATCCGTGCGGGCACCCATGTGCGTTTCACTTGCTCACTCGTTCAACAGGTATTTATCTATTTGTGGTTCTCACTTAACCACTGCTTCCTCGCTCTGCTCTGGGGTCCCAAGGTGGGATGGGCAACATGAGCGGGGCACCTGCGCCGGAAGTTCCCTGGCGGCTTGAACCGCACACCTAACGCTTGCTCTCCCTCCCCAAACAGGGTGCAGTGTCCGGCCGCGATGAACGCGAGCGCCTCATCGCTCAACGAGTCCCAGGTGGTGGCAGTGGCGGCCGAGGGAGCGGCGACAGCGGTTACAGCGGCTACAGCGGCAGGGGCGAGGGACGCCGGTGAATGGGGGCCCCCTGCGGCGGCACTGGCGCTGGGGGGCGGCGGCGCGGCTAACGGGTCGCTGGAGCTGTCTTCGCAGCTACCGGCGGGGCCGCCCGGGCTGCTGCTGTCAGCGGTGAATCCATGGGATGTGCTGCTCTGCGTGTCGGGAACGGTGATCGCAGGCGAAAATGCGCTGGTAGTGGCGCTCATCGCGTCCACTCCAGCGCTGCGCACGCCCATGTTCGTGCTGGTGGGCAGCCTGGCCACTGCCGACCTGCTAGCGGGATGTGGCCTCATTCTGCACTTCGTGTTCCAGTACGTGGTGCCCTCCGAGACCGTGAGCCTGCTCATCGTGGGCTTCCTCGTGGCCTCCTTTGCTGCTTCGGTCAGCAGCCTGCTAGCCATCACGGTGGACCGTTACCTGTCCCTCTACAACGCGCTTACCTACTACTCCCGCCGGACCCTGTTGGGCGTGCATCTTCTGCTCGCTGCCACCTGGACGGTGTCCCTAGGCCTTGGGCTGCTGCCGGTCCTTGGCTGGAACTGCCTGGCGGAGCGCGCCGCCTGTAGCGTGGTGCGCCCGCTCACTCGCAGCCACGTGGCGCTGCTCTCCGCAGCCTTCTTTGCTGTCTTCGGCATCATGCTGCACCTGTATGTGCGCATCTGCCAAGTGGTTTGGCGCCACGCGCACCAGATCGCGCTGCAGCAGCACTGCCTGGCGCCGCCCCACCTGGCCGCCACCAGAAAGGGCGTGGGTACGCTGGCCGTGGTGCTAGGCACTTTCGGGGCCAGCTGGCTGCCCTTTGCCATCTACTGTGTGGTGGGCAGCCACGAGGACCCGGCTGTCTACACCTACGCCACCCTGCTGCCCGCCACCTACAACTCCATGATCAATCCTATCATCTATGCCTTCCGCAACCAGGAGATCCAGCGCGCCCTGTGGCTCCTGTTCTGTGGCTGTTTCCAGTCCAAAGTGCCCTTCCGCTCCAGGTCCCCCAGTGAGGTCTGAAGGCTTCCTCGGTCCTCTCGCCAACACCACACCCCCAACAAGCCAGCCTTTGATGAGCTTCTCGGTGGCTGCTGATGAACTCCGAGATCCCGATAGTGTGACTCTGACTTTGGAAAGCAAGAGAGAATAAATTCACATGCAACAAACTCACAAGGACAAAGAGGCTTGTTGGCACTTTACATATACAGTGTATACATGTGTACATATATATACAAATATTTGTATCTTCTGGAGGCATTCAGGATGTGGAGTTTCCTATTCTGTGAAAAAAATAACAAAGATGTGGCTGTATACTCAAATTGTACATCACATTTGTCAAGTGAAGACATTCCAATACTGCTTAATTATAGCACTTTTTTTTTAGCTGCTGAACTGCCGAAACAGTGTTGCTGTTTTCAAGGTCAGGGGAAAATGAGCTGAAGGTGTATTTTTGTTTTATGTGATAGAATATTTTGCTGCACATGCATCAGTAAATTATAACATATTTTGTACACAAATAAACACATTATAAAAACGTAATTTGGGGTATGTGGCTGACTATAAAATTATTATTTAAGAGCTGAATTATTAGTGCATTTACTTTAAAAGTTTATTATGTATCAACTCCCTCCCGTGAAAATCTTAATGTAAAAAATCGTATGCATTTGAACGTTGTTCATAAATTGTCACTGAAATACCTAATCCAGATAATGGGAAGAGGGCAGGAAGGAATTAACACATTCACGTAACAGTATTCACAGGACACTAAAGGATTATTAGTGTTAGTGCAAATTAACCTACTCCCTTAGTTGCTGGATTTGGAAGACAAGGCCCAGAAGATGTCTGAAACCATTCCTCCATCTTACCACAGGTGCACTTCTGAATCCTGAAACCACAACTGTGAGTTGTAGTTTTCCCAGTCTGGAAAGAATTTTAACTGTTGAAAATTCTTAATGACTAAGTCTACTCCTTGCTGGCCAGGTCTTATAGCAAAATGCACAGGCATAAAATAAAGAAATTCTTCTAAGACAGGATTCCAAGATATATCATGTTCATGAGGTAGATGAAGGCATGCCAGCTGCGCCTCTTGCGGCACTCAGCTCCGAAACACACAGCATTAAGATCCTCAAGAACTAAACTTTCCTGTTCCACCTATGGGTGTGAGTCATAGTTAAACCGTTCCCCTCCTCCTCTTCTTACAGGATGATGTGAGGGTAGATAAGAAACCGTGTGGACATGCTCTGAGTACCAGTGAAGAAATACACACACAAGCACAAGGTTATTGGTCTTAGGCCTTAGAAAAATACACACAAGCAAACTTTTTCACACAGCCCACAAATATTTATTGAGTGCCTACTATCTGCTAGACACAATTCCAGGGCTGGGAATACAGAAGTGAACCAGATAGACAAAAAGTCTCTGTACTCACAGTGTTACATCCTAGTGGGGGAGATGGCCTATGAGCAAATAAACAAATATATAGAAAGAGATCTATTGTAAAGAAATGGTTCATGCAATTATAGAGGCTGAGAAGTGCCCAGATTTGCAGTCAGCAAGCTGGAGATCCAGGCGAGCTGATGGTGCAGTTCCAGTCTGAGTCCAAAGGCCTGAGAACCACGAGAGCCCACGGGCTCTAGACCCAAGAAGAAATGATGTTTCAATTCAAGACCAAAGGCAGGAAAATACCAACGTTCCAGCTCAAGCTATTTAGGCAGCAGGAGTTCCTGCTTACTCACCCCTTTTGTGTTTTTTTTTTTTTCTTCTGGTCTTCAATTGATTAGATGAGGCCCACCTACATCAGGGAGGCCAATCTGCTTTACTCGGGCTACTGAGTCAAATGTTAATCCCTTCCAGAAATACCCTCACAGACTCATTCAGAATAAGGTTTGACCAAATGTCTGGGCCCCCCTGTGGTCCAGCAGGGTGACACATATAAAATTAATCATCACAACAAAAGAGCACAAGAATCCAAAATAAAGGAGAAAAGGTGTTTAAGGAAGGAGTAGTCAACTAGGTCAAACGTTACTGAGAGAATAAGCAAAATGAAATTAAAAATAATGACTATAGATCCAGCCCTGATGGTCTAGAGGTTAAAGTTCTGGCACTCTCACCTCTTCCACAGCCTGGGTTCACTTCCCAGTCATGAAACCACACCACACATCTGTCAGTAGCCATGCTGTGGTGGCAGCTCATATAGAAGAACTAGAAGGACTTACAGCTAGATATATACAACCATGCACTGGGGCTTTGGGGAGGAAAAAAAAAAAAGAAGAGGATTGGCAACAGATGTCAGCTCAGGGCAAATCTTACCCTGCAAAAAAAGTAATAATAATTTACAGAGTTTGTAATGTGAAAGTCATTGGTGAAGTTGACAAGAGAAACTTCAGGAGAGTGAAGGGGGAAGAAAAGCTTGACTGTCAAAAGTACAAGAGAAAATGCATGAGCAATCTAGTCTCCAACATCTTACAACAAAGCTGTTACCTTTTTAACACTATAAAACACACTAAGTTTTATAGACATATAGTTTTATAGTGTCTGTAAATTTAGAGCCAGGAAGATCAGCATTATCGCTCATTCATCAAATTAACATTTCTAAAGAGCTAACCTTCATAGACTATTCAGCATCATCAGACACTGTTTCAGGCCCTATCAGCATCTGGAAAGCATTCAAGCAGACTGAAATAACAAAAGCTCTGGCTGCAAACTTTTCCCAACATGTGGTGGGGAAAATAATATAATTTCAGAGATGGATCAAAGTCAATATTGCCATATATTTTATAATTACAGATAAAAAATTTTTGTAATCAGCAAATTAAGAAACGTCAACACTAGGATAATAAGACAGAGACCATGGATCTGACTTCAATCGCTCTGTATTAATATTCAAAATCAGCCCTAGTCCTAATCAAAATGTTTAAGAGAGCCAAGAACACGAAGATACTAAACAATCAGGTTGTTAATAGCCCTAGCTTATGCAGTTGGCTGGCTGGATAATGTCACCAGGCTTGATATTAACCAACCTGATGATGTGAGTATATAAAACTGCAGGTAGATTTTGAAACATTTCTATGGAGGAAGGTCACATATTCATCTGACCTATCAGATACAAACGATCTCCTATTATTCAAGACCCTATGCTAGGTGCTGGAATCACAGCGTCTTTGAGAAAAGTAAGATTCATTCAAATGTCCAACTACCTACCTACTTTGCTGTCTAAATAGGTATCCTAAACTTAACACATTTAAAATTAGGTTGTTGATTTTTACCCCAAAATCTGCTCTTTTTCCCTCCTTTATCATCTAAGTTAATGGCAGTGTCTCGTTATTCAGGCCAGAAACCTTGGAATCACACTTACCCTTTTCTTTCTCTCATACCTCCCATCCAGTTTTGATGCCTATTGCTTTTACTTTAAAAATATACTCAGAGTCCAGTCAGTTCTCACCATCTCTACCACTATCAGTATCTCTTATCTGCGTTACTCTATGGCCTTCACTGTGGTCCTCTGGCATCAGTTCTTGCAGCCTTTAGTCTATTGTCTACACAGTGGCTCACCCCCACAAGCAGTGGCTCCCTTGACTACCCTTCACATCCAGGCACGAGCCCATGAGCAGTACAGTCTATATCAAAAGAACAAACTTGAGGAAGAGTTATTTAGGCCCCAGAAATAGGCCTTGCATAAGGATTTCTTGAGTGAGGAACTCCAGGGTCCTGTGTATCTGGTGCCTGGTCTAGAAGGGGGGACATAGTCTCTTCAGCCCCGAAAGAAGGAGCACAGCTGGAAGAAGCCTAGAGCAGAGGCCTCTACAGCATGAGGCCCAGGGCGAGGTACCGCTTAGCCCAGGGTATTGGTTTCCTGTTGCTGCTGTAACAGATGACCACAAACTTGGTAGCTTCAAACAATACCTATTTATTCTCTAACTGTTATGAAGATCAGAAATCTGAAATACATTTCACTGGGCTGAAATGAAGATGTCACCAGGGCTGCGCTCCCTCTGGAGGTTCTAGGCAGAGAATTTGTTTCCTTGCCTTTTCCAGCTTTTAGAGTTGCATTTTTTGGCCTGTGGCCCCAAAGCCAGCACTGTCTTATCTTGCTTAAGTGGTTACATTGCCTTCTTCTGTAGTCAAATCTCCCTCTGCCTCCCTCTTATAAGGACACTTATGATTACATTTAGGACTTGCGTAGATAATCCAGGATGACATCGCCATCTCAAGATCCTTAACTTAATCACATCTGCAAAGTCTCTTTTGCCACATAAGATAGCAGTTACAGCTCTGAGAGCAGTATCAACGAAAAGTGCAATAATAAAGGCATACACAGAGTGGTAAGGATCCCATGGGAAAGTCAGGGAACTCCTGTGGAAGACTCCTCTAGGGAGGCAATACTAAGCTGAGTCTAGAAAAACTAAAGAAATTTGCAAGGCAAAGGACATCAAAAGGGGGTGTTCCAGACTGAGAAGACAACATGGAGCACAAAAGCATGGCCCATTCAGAGAAATGCAGGCCATTCAGTATGGCTGGAGTATATAAGATTTAGAGTCTAGAAGAAAAGTGGCAGGAGATAAGTCTGGAGAGGTAGGCAGGAGCCAGGTCACAAGAAAGCAGTGTTGGGAATGGATTGCAGATAAGAAAGACTGGAAGCCAAGAGACCTCTTTGGAGGCTGGTTGCAGCAATCCAGGTGAGAAGTGATGTTGGCATCAGCTAAGAAGGGCATAAGGAGTGGGGAGAAGGAGATGGACTCAAGAGATCTCAAAGAAGTACAGTGTCTCCCACTAAGTGAGTAATTGTGGGGGTTGAGGACAGTGTTGGAGTCAAGGATGTTCAACTGGGGGGTTCATTGAGATGAGAACAAAGGGGGACAGGCAGATTTGAGGAAGAGGATGCTGAATAAAGTTTGTTACATATTAGATGTCAGGATCTGTGGGATATCCAAGCGGAGGAAGCTGGCCCTGTGACTTTAGGGTTCACAAGGATGGCAGGAATGGAGACATAATTTCAGTAGTCATCAATCTTAAGGTAGAAGTGAAGTCATGGGGGTAAAGGAGAAGAAGCCATGGTCACAGTCTGGACACAATAACATATGGGAGTACAGTGAAGGAAAGCAAAAGAGAAAAGGAGACCAAAGAGGAGCATCCAGGGGAGACCCTTGGAAAGCCAAGAGAAAAAATCTTTAGGAAGGAAGTGACCAAGTGTGGAGGCAGCCCAGAGGTCAAGTAGGAAGAGTCAGACTTAGGAACATGGTGGTCATTGGTGACCTAAGTGAGAGCAGCTTCAATGGAGAGTGGGATGAAAGCCAGATTGCAGTGGATTGAGGAGGAAATGGAAATTTCCCAACTGTTTTTCAATAAACTTAACTTTAAATGGAAGGAGAGAGAAAGGGCAGTACCTAGAGGGAAATACGGGGTCACAAGACAGTCTTTGTTTTGTTTTACTTCTTAAAGATGGGCAAGAATTTAATATATTATTATACTGAGGAGCAAGTACCATATAATTGGAAAATAGGATGATAGCAGAGAGAAAAAGATGATTGACAGAGTGAGGC